ACTGGGGCGTCGTGAGACAGTCTGAAGCGACTTCTCCCTGTGAAGACAGATCGACCGCCTTGTGCACCGTTGTCCAACGTGTTTGCCTCTCTCTTCTGGCATTCCCCCACTGCACGCCGCACGTTCCGGAACATTTCAAGCTAACTTCGGCAGCTCGTTTTACATGGGATTTCCCCTTTGCCATCTTTGTCTGCGAAGCTGTGAGCTCGGCTCGCTAACAAGGCTCCTCGCAAAAGGAATTCTATGCAGATGGAGAGCTTGTGTTTCAGCGAAAGTGCGGGCTGCATTCCGGCCGACTGGTTTAGGAATCGAAGCCCCATAAGCCATCTCCTTCCGAGCTATTTCGTTTGTCGTTGTAACGACGCGTGATAGATATTACCTTTATCCTCAAAGGCCCATTGCCCCTTGTCATCCTCAATGTCCTGCTATGTCAAACCAGGCGTGCCCGCAGGATGCATCCCCCAAGCCTTGCACAGCACTGGACTGTCGAGGCATGCATGAGGAGCCAAAAAAAGACATGCTTCTGTTCTTGCATTGTAGGATCGCTGGAGCGAGAAGCACTGGCTTAAGGATGTTGCAAGGGTTCGTGAATACTACTATGCGTGTATTCGATATGCGAGTATGTATATCATACAGATGCATACATTGATACATACTTGCATACATACAGGCACACACACACACAGAAACATACGTACGTGCATGCGTACATTCATACGTACTTATATCCATGTATTCAATTAGGTTCGTGTTTGTTTTTGATTGTATGCTGTATGCATGTATGTATGTACGCACGTACTATGCATGAGTGGAGAATGCAGTTTTGTTATGTTTGCTCAGCTTCTGCTCCTTCGCTACATGTATTGAAGGGATATGCTGAAGCATATGTTGGCGTCTGACACAATGTGTGTCCACACGCAAGAACAGCAGTAGCGAACAGAAAGGGATCAAGCTGCAGACAATGTTCACGAGAGTAAGGGTTTCTCCGAAGTACTTCCTTCTGGATGTTAGCAGAAAAAGAGTGTCCAGAGGTGCTTATGGGGAGGGTGCAGACTTGCACACCTCTGGCGAAATCAAGATGTTCGCTCCAAGCAAACGGGATGAAGTCCACATTTATTCGGGTGCGAAACACGGATGCGATTGAACTAAGGCTCCCCGAACAGATGCCTTGCCGCCTGCCTCGAAGACTTTTGTGCTGAATGCCAGGTTGGTCTACCTGCTAGGTAGGATCCCTCGGTCTGGGCGCTACAAAGAGCCTTCTTGAGTCGAACAAAAGCTCAAGCGCAACATGACCGACATGTTCGCGACAGCTTTGGGATCCAGTCGTGAACGTGGCCTGGTGGAACGGATCCACAACGCCTGGCGGGCGAAGCTAGCTGATGTCACTGGCTGTACTGACTGCCACACTTACACTTAAGGGGAACAGGGTCCCTTACAACGAAAGCAAGCAAGGTCATCCATGACACGTTCCAGCAGCACCTGCAGCCTTTATGCTTGGCAATAGAACCCTCCAAACACCCTCAAGTAGCTGACAACATAGATTCGCGAGCACTCCCGTTCCTGCGCGGTATGTCCGACTTGTGGGAGCGGCTGCGTGACGACCCATCGGCGCAGCAAGCGACGAAGCCGCACCGTAATGTGAAACTTGCCTTTCGTTAGTAGGAATGGAGGAATGGGGTACAATTATAACTAACATTGCTACCATTTCCTCCATTCCCTACTAACGAAAGGCTTGGGAGAGGTTGTTGACTTGACAAGCACTCACACAAATGACATCTCGCAGGGACAGGGCGGAATGGATTGGAAAGCACTTGCGACCTTTCAAAGGACAGTTGTCCGGAACCTTCGCCTGAACGTCTTGCTGACGAGGACAAGGAGGTGGTGCTGGCCGCTGTCGCGGAGGAAGGCATCGCACTCCAGCAGCTTGACGCAACCTGTGAGGTAAGGAAGCACGAGAGATGTGCTGATTCGTCCTGAATATTCATGGGACAGGGTTCAGGACGGCAATTAGTGGCCCAACGACGAAGTATGGGCAGCGAGGTCACTAATCCAATTTGTGTGTGCCTCCAAGTCCTGCTGCCCAAGAATCCTATTTTTTACCAGCTTGAAGAGCTCTTGGGCCTAAGCCTTCACGCCCAGATTTGCCTCGCCGGAGCTTCAGGATGACCAAGAGGCTTGGGCTTTTGGGCTTGGCTGCAGGGATGACATGACCTGCTGTGAGATAAAGATACTTTGCGTGCTGGTTGAAGCTCCTGTCATGGCCGATTCACGATCTGCTGCTGTAGTCCGGTAGCCAGGTAGTGGCCACCGCCGTCAAGCAGGAAGCACAGCTTGCAAGAGCCGCAATCGTGTGTTTGCTGGCTTTCTTGCCGATGCTAGCTAGGCTCATGTGTGTGTTGTCCATACTAGACTTCAGGATACTTACTAACACGGGGTTGGCAACAGTGAAGCGGTCTGATACACGGCTCCTGCATGAAGAGATGGGCATGGACCATGGAGGTAAGAGCAGGCGTGTGTCACTTTCAAAGGCAATGCAATGCGAATCTATGTTCAACATCTTGAACCCCGAGTAGCTCAGCCTTCATGCCCTCATCTGCTGCACTGCAGGACCCTGATGCGCTGGAATATGCCTCCGAAAGGCTTCGTGGCAGTCGGGAGGCCACCACAACATCCTCCGTTTACATCTTTCGTGCAACAGTCGCCCTAGAAATGTAACAGGATGTTGAGGGCCACTGTCATGAGCACCAGCATTTACGGACAGCAATGTTTTCGTGCCGCCATTCCTTTTGGCTATGGTTCTACACTGCGCGAGAGGTGGTTGCGGCAGCCGTTGAGCAGAGCGGCGCTACCGATGCAAGTGAGGAGGGTTTTGAAGCTTGGAAAATTCGTGGCATGGGGCCACCAAGCGTGGGATTGTACCAGGCTCACGGGGTCACAAGAGAAGCGCCACATCGAAACTGCAGCAGAAGAGGGCATGTGAAGTGATGAGGATGCTGTCTTCTGGAATATGTGTTTCTTCATCTCATAGCGCGCAGTTAAGTAGTCAAGTAGTCCAGAGCCCCTGTATACACTCTTGTCATGATCACTTCTTTGAAGGGAATTTGGGACCGTTAGGCTCTGTGCTGCGATTTGCCGCTCCAGATCTTTGGACCGCCTGGGCCTAATCGTAGTCGGACAAGTGGAAGCAGGTTTAGGAGTTCAGGCCAGTCTAGTATTTTAAAGTGCCTTTCAGCGACATTCAGAAAGCATTGTCACGACGGTTGTTCCTCGGCTGACGTGGTTCTAGGAACAAGTTCACAAGCGAATCCCAAAACCTCGGGAGATGCCTGTAAGGTCGCAGGTTATCGCACACGCCAGCCTGTGAAGAAGTGTCAGCCAGTCCTGATCGTCCCCGAACTACTGTACGGAACGCTTCGAGACAGTTCTGACGGCGAGTGCCCAACGATGCAGAGATTTTCAGAGCCGAGCAAACACTAAGTCTTGGCAGATCGCTGCCAGTCTTTGCCATTCGCAAGACCCGTTAGAACTTCATACAAAGCCACTGCTCAGCCAATTATGAGGATCGGACGCTCCTCTTGGCAGCTGTACAGCAGGCAGCTGTAGTTGCAGGATAGTCAAGAGCTCTACTTCTTTTTGGTTGCCTGTGTTTGGCATCCGGGTCGTCGGATCAGGCCACCGGAAGTTGAGAGGTGCAGCTTGCAAAGGAAGATATTTCTGATGTCGAAGCGACACTGGTCCCCATCATGGTATCAACGAGACACTCGGTAATGGATCGCTGGTCCACTTGAAACGAGGATGCCCCACACATGCTGCAGTTCTCGAAATCATCATCGCACAGGATGATCCTGCCATTGCTTGCCAGCCTTTTTCAAAGACCTTCCACCGGTCCCAGTAACGGTTTGGACAGCTCGTATTTCCGACTAAACTCCAGAGAGAGACCCTTGCAACGGCTACACAGGATGGTCGGCTCCTGAAGCTCGGAGAAGGCACGGGCCTGCTGGATGCCCAGACCTTTCTAAAGAGAGTTGTTGGATTTGGTGGTCGCGCCAAGCCTGTGTTTCAGGCCAGCAGTTGGAGTTATGAGGAGACGGAACTGAAAGGATTTAGCATCTAACGATGAATCAGAACCATGTCAGAGGCCTCTGTAAGCTCACAACGCACAACCGACAGCGAGCCATCAACGTTAGGACGAAGCATGGCCTCGATGCCCTGGCATGGGGCCAAGCCAACGTTGTAAACCACCAGGGCCTGATCATCCTACGGAGTTCGTTAAGGCGCTTGCGATATCTAGCGATCCCGCTGAGAAAACGCGATCCATCGCAGTTGCATCTCAGGTCTAAGGACAAAGAACTCGTGGGGGGCCCTGGCTTCATCCGCTGGAAGTCTTTCGAGTTATTGTTTGCGATTCAGCAACTCAGCTCCAGATCATCTCAGATGGCAAATGATTGCTAACTGCAAGGAAATCGAGGTGTTTCTGAAAGCCCGTATGGCTGCTATCAGGAAGCCGGAGTTGTCGACAATGCAATCTCAAAAGGGCCTTGTTCCTCGATGCATGCCGGGCAGATTTCTTTAGCACCGTGATCGGGTTGACTTGGACAGCAGCTTTCATTCTCAGGTTCATGCCGCTGTTGCCCAGGCCATGGGCGGGGGTTCGGTAAGAGAAGTCCAGGGCTCCTACAGGATACGTTACATGGCGGAGGCCGAACAAAACCGGCTCTGAAAAGCTTATGTGCCTTCGCTTGACGAAGATTTCTGTCGCACTCTTGAGGCTTACCAGACTTGGGTCCTGGTGCACCTTTGAGACCTGCAGCCTATCCGCACAGCCCCACGATTCAATCCTCAATCAAGTCCAGCAACTTTGCGTTGCTGCGGATATTTCTGCATGGTAGGATGGTGATGCCCTGGAGTTCGTAGACGAGGAGATGCGAGCTGAGAAAGATGCACCCGGGACTCCGAAGCTACATAAATAGGAAGTGCCTTTCGGGTGCCGTCGCGGTAGAATGGGAATTGGATGGGAAGTTTCGAACGAGGTTGTCTTGTTGGCCGTGTCCACCAGCGGCACCAACCTCCAGCTCGCCGCCAAGGAGAAGGGGATTGCCAGGGTGTTACCAGAGCAGGGCAAGGCACTTTCGAGTCTGTTCGGCTTTACCGGACTGTCGCGCGGAAGCAACAATGCCCCTTATGGTAATCCTTACTATAGACCCCTTCAAAAGGACCCCTTCAAAGGAACCCCATTCTAACAGATTCAAGCACAAGTCCTTCAGGCTCCTCAAAGACCCCGTTTCATGCAGGAGCTGAAGGATGATCCGGAGGTAGTCCAGGCAGCCATCAAGCCCCTTAGCTTAGCTCAAGCAGGCTTTTGGAGTTCTCAAAAGCAGCGCGTTTTTCAGAATGCCTGACAAGCTCGGGCTGTGGTTTAGGTGTGACCGACGGGACGTGAAGGCCACCCTGAGTTCAATTCCGATGGAAGAAAAGAACCCAACAGCAACTGACGACATCTGACTGTAAGTTGAAGGATGGATCATGTTCCGCTCCCTGCTCAGCTACAAAGGTTTGATGGTCTTTCGCTGCAATTTGCTTCCGAGCGGCTTCGGGCGGACCCGGTTGGTTGCCTTGTGTTGAGGTTTCACTTGTCGCGGGTTTTGTGGCCGTTCGGAAACAATGGCATGTCTTCAGGCTTGAACGCAAACAGTCGTGCCCATTTGGGGTTTCCGCAGCATCTGAATCCAGAGCTCAGAAAGCTCCCTGATCCGACAGGACAGAGACATGGTTCTGGCTGCAGGAGCCTAAGCTTCTAAGTCTGGGCTGAAAACCTGCGGATCCCAGCTCAGGTTAGAACCATTCTTGAACAATCTATGCAGCCCGTTTCTATTGTCATGCTGAGGCAGTTAGTCAGAATGGCTGCGCACTGGAGTTTGCCAGCGAGGCCACCAAGTGGACGAGCAGCGCACAAAGCCAATTCTTCTCAAACATTGACAGACCGCTTGGCCTCTGCACAGCATTCAACATCAGAGCATCATTTATTCTGTGGCTTGTCATGCATGAAGACGGAAGCCTGCCTGGGTACTCACACAGCAAGTTTGCTTGGTGATGCCTAACTTGATACATCATGATGTCAGGCACTCCGGCAAGAACGCGAGGTTGTCTGGCAGGCACTGCGAGCTTGAAGTGCTATTTTGACAGAGCAAGAACGTGAGATGGTCCATCGCCAAAGCTTTAGTGCCGAGCAAGAGAACTCTGTGGTGGAAGCGTAACGTCTCCCAGATGGCTTTCGTATGCTTCTGATTTTGCATCTGCTTGAGAGGCAGTAAACCGAACGCCACGGTCATTGGCCTTGGCTTTGGGTGCAGTTCTTAGCTTTGGAGAGTTCCATCAGGTTTGCCAGCAGTTCGGACTGCCAAGAACGGTGCCGTGAGCGCTTGCCTAGCCGATGATCGTTCCCGTCCGCACATTTCCGACATCACCACCTCCACGGATCTCCGCATACCTTGACCTCCCCGCTATGCCTGCGACATAATGTCCACTGTTGAAGTCCTGAACAAAGAGGTGGCCTGGCCGATGATGAAGAGCTGGAGGAGCTCGCACGCGCCCCTTCGATGCAGCCAGTACCCTCCAGTTGTTGAATTTTTCGGTCGGATCTAGCCCACAGCGCAACAAGTTGACTTACCAGCACTGGCAGCTTTTCCCCATGTCTGGATGCTCGCAGTCAGGCAGTTCAGTTGTCTGGTTTGCAGGTGCAGGGAGTCTGCAGTTTGGGATATCCGTGGCCTAAGATGCTCGTCAAAATCCAAGGACGTCCGCTGCCGCATTCAGGAAACTGGACGATGATGGTGCCAGGCGATTGAAGGGTGCCAGAAAAAGGCTTAGTATGATGTTGACACGGAAGCGTATCTAGCAAAATCTCCAGAGAAAGACAGCACTCAAATGCAAAATCGGACCTGCCTCTGGCCGAGCCCAACATAAATTTTGTTCGAAACTCCATATAAGGCCACGAAAGGTATGGAATATATTAGAGACTTAGAATATGCGAGTTATACAATAATATAGTCTTCATATCGAATCCCAGATATCAAATCTATATGATTCTTCAATAACTACATATTCTATTTTCGGCATGATATGAAGTTTTCGATATATCTTTATAATTTTATGTAAACTATTGATTCTCTGAGTATTTCAATTGAAATGTGGTGTTTTCTGAATGGTAAATATTTTAAAATATTGAAAAATATATTTATAATATAGATTAGCTTGATGATATAAATGTTAATTATTAATCATTAATATATACTGAAAATATAAATTAAGATAAATTTATAGAATTTGCGTGAATTAATGAAGTTAATATAATTGAAGAAAATCGAAATTTAAAGCATATAATCTTGAGATATAACGATCTATATTAATTCTAAATAGTATTTCAATGGATTTGTCAATATTAATAGCGACGTGAGATGATTATAATTAAATCTATCAAATTATTTATCGGTTGAATTTTCGGATGATTTAATTATTTGGATTATGGATTCGACTATATATATTTTAAAACTATTTGAAAATTATTGATCTGTCGAACGATTTCTCGGGAGATTTGTTGGATATTTCTTATTAAATTTGATATTCTGATAGATTATTTAATCGATAATTCGATTGATAAGTGCACCTGATAGAAATTTGATATATATTTTTCTTTTAATCAAATTGGGATTCAT